TCGACTGGAAACTCTCCGGGGGCAGAGACGGCCTCTCGCTCTGTGGCTGTGCATCCCCTCCCCCAGCACAATGGGCCCTGGATTTCAGCTGCGGCTTCTAGGTCCCACTGTAATACACCTAAGAAATAATACTAAGTTAAATGGAGCAACTTTGATTTATCCAGCCGGGGATCTGGCCCATTGACTCCAAAGGAGCGAGGCCATTTTACACCAGCCGGGGAAATGGCCCCTCTGATACCCGAATGGAGCGAGGCCGGTTTACGCCGTCCAGGGATCTGGCCCCTCTGACGCCCAAATGGAGCGAGGCCGGTTTACACAGGCCGGGGATCTGGTTGGCACAGTCGTCCGGTTTAGCTAAGGGGAGACAGTGGCCCGTCTCGGCCGAATCTTAGCCCCAAGCAGGCAGAGGGAAAAGTTCTGGCTCATGAGATTTCTGAGCCCGTCGCTGGGGAACGGATCCCCCCAGAGGCAGGGACGGGTGGGCTGGCTGGTCCGACCGCCCCCTAAGCTGGCGTCTGTATGATAAAAACATTCTGCTGAACCGGCTACAGCGTATTGCTAATTGGTTCGCTGTTGCCCTCTGCTGGATGGAATTGGGACTGTTGTCTGTGGGTCACAGGCCCCTACCCTGCCAGCAGGTGCTGGGCGAGTCGCCGGTTGCTGGGGGGGCGTTGGGAGCAGGGGGGGTTGGGGTCTATCCCTGATGTTGCCAGGCTGGAAAGCAGCGTGTGATATGGAGACACTTGGGCTTTTAGGGAGCTGGGGGTCTGGGCAACTGGGCAAACGTCTGCTCCGGCCACAAGGAAGGTACAAGATGCAGAGAGGCCCAGAGGTACATGCAGCAAAACTCACACAAAGCCCTGCATCCACCCAGATCGCCACATAACAAGATACACACCCACACAGAGACACTGCCACAAAGCCACACACACACACAGATACACAAACAAGGGCACAACGAGAGTGACACAAAACCACACAGACATACGCTCAGCTAAACAGACCCATGCAAACAGAAACACAAGGGCACAAAGAAAGAGAGACTCACACAAAACCAGACACATACACCCAGCTAAACAGATACACAAACACAAGGACACAAAGAGAGAGAGAGACACACACAAAGACACACTCGAAACCACAAACACAAGGACACACACACACGCACACACACAAAGACGCACACACAACCACAAACACAAGGACAGAGAGAGACACACACACAGAAAGACGCATCCAAAACCACAAACACAAGGACTCACAGAGAGAGACACACACAAAAATGCATACACAACCACAAACACAAGGACTCAAAGAGAGAGACACACACAAAGATGCACACACACAAGGACACACACATGCACACACACAAAGATGCACACACAACCACAAACACAAGGACTCACAGAGAGAGACACACACAAAGATGCACACACAACCACAAACACGACACAGAGAGAGACACACACAGAAAAACACACACACACACGCAATCAGAGAAGCAAATCAATTCTGGACGCGTTTCTGGAAGAGATGCTTGAGTCAAACCCCAGTTATTGGGCCCCCGACAGGGGAAAGTGGGGGCAATCAAAAGGCCCCGCGCTATAAAGGAGGCCGATTGGTCCCTTCTTGTCTTAAATGTGATGATTCCCACGCACGCACGCCTCAGACAGAGTGTGGTGCTGTCCGAATCGCAGCTTACCCTCCCTGCTGATAATGCTAATCCTCCCTAGGTTTTATCGCTGCTAGATCTCAAAGCCCTCTGCAGAGGAGTGTCATTAATCCTGTTTTACAGATGGGGAAACTGAGGCACGGGGCCTTGCCTGAGCAAACTGGGACTAGAACCCCGGCTACCGCTCCACCCAGTAGGCCGCGCCGCTCATGCATTTAGCTCATGCATTTAGCTCCTAAAAGCGGGTCGCTCCCCTTACGCCAGGGCCGCCGTTTCGGTCCCTGCGAAGCCAGGTCGTGTGCGCCAGCTCGCTGCAAAGGCGTGTTTGCACCTGTGTTTGGGGAGCCCCGTCCTGTCTCAGCGGAGAGGCCACGGGCCAGATCTGGAGACACCACTTTGCACTGGGGAGGGGGTGAGCTGCCCTGTCTCTGAATGGGGTGTGGAGTGAGAGTGGGTCTATGGAGCGGGGCGTGGTGGAGAGCCCTGTTCTCCACACAGCTCGGGGGGGAGCTTTCATGGACAAGCTCAGCTGGTGACAGCAGGGGAATGGGAAATCAGGACTCCTGGGTTCCATTCCTGGCTCCGCAACGGTCTGAACCTCCCTATGCCTCAGTTTCCCCACCTGTAGGATGGGGTCAATAATTCTGACCTAACATCCCAGGACAAGCTGTCGGGATTAAATTAATGGATGGGCATAAAGGGCTTTGGGATCTTCAGGGGACGGGCTCGTGGAAAGGACAAAGTATCATTAAAGGGACGTACACCGTGACTCACGCGGATTTCAGATACCAGGGCTGGGTACAGGCACGGACACCTGTAAGCTGTCACATCCTGTTTTTCCCAGCTGAACTGCCAGGTCGCCTCATCAGATAAACAAATTATGAAACATAATCATTGGGTGAAAGAGGAAAGAACAGTTCATGTTTATTAGGTGTCTTACGGCAGCACCTGGGAGCCCCAGACAGGCATGAAAAATGCTCCAAAAACCTGCTCCCCGCTCCTGGCCGTGGGATTGGAGTAGGAGGATCAGACCAATGGGCCCATCGAGCCC